TTGTCAAGGGTCTGGGAATGAACATTTTATCGTTTTCCCCTACGTTTTTCCTTAGGTATCCTTGCCAGTCATTAGTTTCAATTAGTATGGACTTCGATGGGCAATCCACAGGACTGTCTATACAAGTCCCAGTACTTATTGGGAGATGTCGATACGTATTATCCCAGAATATTAGCGCCTTAAGCCTTAGCGAAACAGATTTAATAGGAACAGATCAATGCAATCAACAATGCTATTACATTATATTCCGTGAGTATACCACATCATCAACGATCCAATCTCTACTCTTCTGTTGCACTAGTTCGTCTCAAAAGGACCCGGTGCGATGGGTGGCCTAGCAATCAATCAATTATAAGGCCTTGCTCAATCTCGAAAGTACATGACGCATGACGACACTAAGTAATTTGCTGATGGGCAAGATCCCATGGGCGTGCAGATGAACAACAACAACCACAGGGTACAGTTGAACTGCAGATGCGAAGTTAATGATGGTTTTCACTGGTGCTACATTGGCCATTGGTTTTGATTGGTGGTACCTTGTAGAAGGTATCACATATGCAAAGGATCGTGAACTTGATAGGCTTGAACGTTTGTAATTGGGAGACATCATAATCTGCGATACGATAGGCTTGGTGATGTCTTCGATGTTGCGTAGTTCTGAGTCGATCAGAACTGTTTCGAGGATGTTGTTTCTAGGGTGGGAGTGAATTTTCGTCAGTTTGAGTTCTGGGTTTGATTTTGACGTAGGACTACGTCTGTGATTTCTATATGGGGGTACACTTTGTGAAAACCGAAAATGAAACATGTAACAGAATTATGAAATATTTTGAACGTCAATAACTCAGCTGCCCCTGGACTAATTTCAATAATTTTATCACCAATCGATCAGAAATATTCCTACGCATCGGTTGAATTTAAGACTTTATCATTTTTAAATATGTCACTATTGAAAATTGCACGAGTGTGAAACTGTTGGTATGATAGTTAAAATTATCACCGATTGCCTGCGAAAAACGATTTCCCTAACACAGATTTCAAAGTTGAATTCTATCCGGTCTCACCAAATGGTGTTTATTCAATCACCGCGTGGTCCAGTACACAACGAAAGGCTGCCTGCAAGCAGTGAGTGGCAGCCCACATGAGCATCCATAGAAGGAGGAAGAAGCCGCTCCGTTATTGATCAGAATCAGTAGCTCTTCGTGAGTTGCTGTGGGCTATCTATGTCAAGCGCGTCATACTAAAGAGTATAAACAGAGAGAACCCTGCTCAAACTCCTACCCCTACACAAAACACTAGCTCATGCTGCAGTTAGCAAATAAGATTTATTATATAAGACCACGTAGTCCTACGTCACCATTGCGTACAACCCCATAGGGCTGTCCCTTGTAGTTTTTTCGGGGAGCATTTTACTGGCAGCTGGTGAAAATTTCGTTCACCGTCCGTTTCTTGTGGATGGGTCGTATAGGTTATACTGCTTCCAGTTCCTCTTCCACTGACCAATCCGCTCTCAGTCTAATGAGAATGAAGCTTAATATTTGCCATGAACCATGGTCACGAATTAGAGAAATTGCCAAACTCATGGGATATTGACGCCTTGATTTATACACTTTGGCCTACTTTGGAATGATCGGCACAACGCTTGGCACAGCTTAAGGCACGGTCAAAACTCTTCCCTTTAGTTTGTTTTTTCCGTCGATCTTGTTTTCCGTGCTGAGCACCAATGCTACCGACGTGCCAGGAAGGCAGTTCCCACACCTGGACCCTACCTATCGACCCATCAACTCATGAACCGGGGACCAACGGCTTTACTTCCCATCCGAAGGAAGGCGTGATCAGAGATGTTATGCCTCAGAACATCCCGGCGACGCCGACTGGGATTGAACCCAACCTGCTGGGGTGAGAGGTAATCACGCTTACCACTACACCACCGGCGCCGTTGGCCAAAAGTCTTAGCACAGTTTAAAGTGTGCAGAGTTGAATACCCCTTGGAGCTTTTAAATGTGTGTACAGAAATCTGAATAATAGACCAGCGTGGTTTTTAGAATCGTATAAATATATTTGAATTTATAATCCTGTTCTGATCAAAATTTTACCGTAAAACGATGTAGCTTTAAGAGTTTTTTGAAGCATATTCTATATATTTTTTACAACAATTAATGTTTTTCAAATATATTTTTTTTAAACAAGGATCCTAGAGTAAGTTTGTTAGTCATTTGTTTAACGAAAATTATTGCATTTGCTTGTACTATGTTTTTGTCTTATGGTCATCATCAATTTTTTATTTGTTTTGAGGATCACTTTGATAATATTCGATGAATGTAAAAACATGCCTGAATCTCATACAATTTAGTTCAAGAAATATGAAACTTTGAATGAGTATATAATCAAAAACATCATTAGCAACAAGAAGACCACATTTTAATCAGGCGAAAATCATGAAAATTGTTCTTTTTAGATTTTTGAAAAATATATAAAACATACTTTATAACAACTCCACACGACACCAACTCCCTAAGGTACAAAATGGATCCAATGTTGCCAATTTGGACATTTCAGAGAGTAAATTTAATCATTTTATTCTCAAAGTTACCCGCTTTATCGAAGATACCCTGTTTTACGGTACTTAAATAAGATCCTTTTGGATGTAATTGCAATTCAAATTGGATAGAGTTTGTAAATATTGATGAAATTTTCGGAAAAATTTAACAAATTTCCTATTAAATTTATAGAAGCATTAAAATTCAATTGTTGGTTTTCAATTATTAACCAGGGAAACCGAGATAGAACCCGGAATTTTAAACTGGAAATGGAAATAGAAATGCACTAAAATTTGATTGCAATCTGAGTTCACACGAACAAAACTACGATCGAAAAAAATCGCCTAAAAACAGAATTGAGTGTAACTGAAATAGCAACTATGGGCGGTCAAACGATCTGAGATGTTATCTCGTGTTGAGCTTCCACTTAGTTTACCACAATACATACACCGTAAATATTTAATCTCGCTCAGTTAAACTATTCAAAAGGACCTTCGATTCTTCTAATCGACTTGCTCTTTGGATCGCCCCAACCGTTTAAAAGCATTTCCCGATATTTCCGGACTGTTTTGAGATTTGGACGTAACTGTTGTTGTATACAATGAGGTCAATAACCGATTTCTCGTGAATAAAAGGTCAATCTTGCAAATCTCGCAGTGATTTCTCTAGCAGTTGGTAGGTTTTTGTTTGAGAATTGGAGCTTTTATTTGCTAGAAATCGATGACACCAAAATATCAGTTAATGTAATACAATCTTTCCTCATCATCACCGAAGCTAGATTTTAATAGATTCTAAATACGTGGCTCTTCAAAAACTTTCAATTTGCTAGTCACTTCTACTCATTCGTAAAATTTCTAAAAGCGTAGGTTACTCACCTACGCTTTTAGAAAAATTACTCACAACTGAGTAAAAGTGACTCACTCTCTGACCTAGTTTCGTTTTCAGTGAGTCCATTTTCTTGCTCAGTTTTTTTCCTGCTATGTTAAACATTTTATTACCATGTTCTTGTCATATTCACATTACCCTGCGGGAGTTCTCCTCTTCCTTCTCTTCCCATCTCATGAACTCAACAAACTGCATTGCATGCAGTCAGCAGCAGCAGTTCATGTTCTTTAGCCAACAAACAACTTCGGATACATCCCTTGCTTCAACTGCTACTTCTTCAGCAAACCCCCCCCCCCCCCCTGTCACCCCTCTGATGGTGTCCGACGATTCCCGAAGCCAGTATCGACGAGCAAAGCATGTAACACATTTGTGGTACAAGCGCTTACACGGACCACATCCCTTTCCGGTCGTCCGGATCTGAGGCTGCTCTTCTTGTGTAACCCACTAGCGTACATGACTGCTGTAACAAGTTTCGGAAAACCTTCCAAACAGAACTCGAATGGATACCAACAAAAAAAAAAAAGAAAAGGTTGCTACATAATCAAAGTCCCTCCCCGCCTGCCTGTATGTGCTTTCCATCCGGTCTAGGTTCCGGAGCATCATCATAGCTCAGGACCACCCTCAGATGCCGACCTTTTCAAACTAACCAACAACAGTCGGTGTGTGTGTGTGTGTGTGTGTGTGTGTGTGTGTGTGTGTGTGTGTGTGTGTGTGTGTGTGTGTGTGTGTGTGTGCGATGTATCCCCATTTAAAATACATGACTGTAATTAAATCCGTGTCAAAAGTTGTAATTGCATTTGCCAAAACATGCTAGGAGCTGCTAGGTTAACCAATGACCAGATGCCGCTGTTCGTTGCATCCGGGGTCTCGTTTTTACAAGCTGTGTGTTGGGCATCTAAACGCGGTCAACGGTGGTTTCGGTGATGGTCACAGACCAGGGTGCAACCACAACACCATGATAAACCGATCGGGTTGCAGTTTACATTTGTTAGTTTTGGTCTGATCTGAAATTAGTAACGTGGTTAAATTCATTGGCTTTGCTTTGGTCTACAAAACTGGAAAGTGCACCCCTTCGTTCCAGTAGTTCACCTTTAAAAGCGAACCTAATCCGGTTCGTTTCACACTTTACCTCCGAGATTAAATTCACCTATACCCGGAGAAGCATATCGGACGACGACATGCCAAAGTTCCCATTTTCACACGCCATTTATCACATTGCATTTAGAGCGTGACCAGCAGTTTTTAGTAGCAGCAGAAGCAGCGCCAGCACGAGAAGAAGAGCGAAAAAATGCAAACACTCCTCGGAATTTCTCCCCGCAGTAAACCTAAGCGCCAGAGATCTATCGACTGGCCAAACCGACAGTGACTGGATGAGGAAGGAAATAGCAGCGTAAATAGTTGAAGCATTCCATCCACCCAAGCTCGCACACACACACAAAAAAGTCTCAATGTGACCAACCGTACGAACGAACGAACGAACGAGCGAACGACTGGCTGGAGATCCCGCATGTCCGATGCCCGGACCCAATTCAATTATACTCAATTTTCATTCTTTTTTTTTCATCTCTCTTCCTGCAGACGGAGATCTCGAAAAGGTTAAATGCAATAATCACCCAGATCGTACCGTTCCTGTCCCAGGAGCACCAGCAGCAGGTCCTGACAGCGGTCGAACGGGCGAAACAGATCACCATGTCCGAGCTAAACGCTGTGATAGGGGTAAGTCTGCCCCAGTTGCGAGTAAATTTATGCAGATTCAAACAGATTCCCCCTTTCTTCCTCTCTTGCGTAGCAACAGCGACCGGATCTGCCCCGGCTTCTACAGCAGATGCACGCCCAGCAGATCCCCGGTGCGCACGGAGCGCCCCCGATGCCGGTAGGCATGCCCCACCCTAGTCTCGGCCCGGGAGCCCTGGGAGGACCTCTGGGAGCCCTCGGAAGCACCCCGCCCCAGCACCCGCTGGCCATCCTCAACAAGCAGGAACTGCACCGGCCCGAGGAGTCCAAGAGCAGCAATAGCAACATTATGCCGCTGGACGATCGGCATGTAAGATTGAGCTTCTGCTTCTGCGGAAAATATCTATTTTAGCTCTAATGGTGTGTCGTTTTTACGAATTGCAGCGAAGTTCCATTTCACCCACCGATCGTGACAAGTACCGACCGCGGACGCCCGAGTCTTCCCACGAGCTGAAGAAGGTCAAAAAGGAGGAGAAGGACATGGGCCATGTAAGTTTGCGGTAGATTCCGAGTTCGGCCCTCTTGAATACTAACTGGGAATTTCTGTTCCGTTTTTTATTTTTCATGACGAAAGCAGTCTGACGGGGAGAAGTCTGACCAGGATCTCGTAGTAGACGATGCCTCGGAAATCAACCCGATGAGCCCGATGCCCAATCAGCACCATAATGGTAAGCAGAAGCACCCAACTTCATTAAATTATAAGAGGCTATTGGGATGGCAGGAGTTAGTTAGCCTGACGGAACTGATCATGCCATTGATGTTGTTTCTTACTATGCAATGCTTAGGTTTGACTGTATTAGTGATATATTTAGTGTGTGGGGCCTCCCTTAGGTCTATCGGTAAACACACAGCTACAAAGCTGGGTTCGATTTCCGGTCCAGTCTAGGAATGTTTCGGGTTGGAAAATTGCTCGATTTCATGGACATATAACAAATGAAGAAATCGTGACATCAGAAAATTATCGAGTTCTCCATAAACTCTGGACTTCAAATCATGTTCATGTTCAAGATCTTATACCATTTTTTGAACAATTTTCAAAATTATGGGACTAAGGATTTCTTTTCCAAGGTCTTGGATTTCATGCAATAAAATAAATGGTGTTTGGTCCCGAATCTAGACTTGAATAGCAAATCCAGGATTAAAGCGCTGAACGCACACGGGGCGCAGTGTTCACACGTGATGATCTCGGAAGTTCCATAAACATCTCAGAAGTTCTATGAGAGTTTTAGAGGTTCTATAAACATCTCGGAAGTTCTATGAACTGCTCGGAAATTATAAGATCATCTCGGAAGGTCTATGAATACCTCGGAAGATCTATGAACTGTTCAGAAGCTCTATGTACTGTTTGAAAGTTCTATTAAATTCTCGGAAGTTCTATGAACTGATAGAAAGTTCTATGATGATTTCGGAAGTTCCATGTACATCTCGGAAATTCTATAAACTGATCAGAAGTTCATTGAACTGCTCGGAAATTCTATGATCATCTCGGAACTTCTATGAATACTTCTGAAGTTCCATGAATATCTCGGATGTACTAACTAATACTACTAAGTTCTATGGATATCTCGGGAGTTCCACAAACATCTCGAATATTTTATGATTTTCCTGAAAGTCCTGTAATCTTCAAGGAAGTTCTATGAACTCGTCGGATGTTTGAGGGACATTTCGGAAGTTCTATGAACATCTCGAAAGTTCTATTAACTGCTCGAAAATTCAGTAATAAGTTCTATGAACTGTTCAAAAAATTTATGATCATCTCGGAAGCTCTATGAATACCACGAAAGTTCTATGAACTGTTCAAAAGCTCTATATACTGCTTGGAAGTTCTATTAAATTCTCGGAAGTTCTATGAATTGCTGGGAACATCTATGAACTACTCGGAAATTCTATGATGATCTCAGAAAATTCATGAACATCTTGGATGTTCTATGAACTGCATGAAAATTTCATGATCATCTTGGAAGCTCTGTGAATACCTCGGAAATTTTATGAACTGTTCAGAAGCTGTATGTACTGCTTTTAAGCTCTTTTAAATTCCCGGAAGTTCTATGAACTGCTCGGAAATTCTATGATGATCTCGGAAGTTCCATGAACTTCTCAGAAGTTCTAAGAGACTTTTAGAAGTTCTATAAACATCTCGGAAGTTGTATGAGTTGCTCGGTAATTCTATGAACTGCTCGGAAATTCAATAATCTTCTAGGAAGGTCTATGAATATCTCGGAACTTATATGAACTGTTCAGAAGCTCTATGTACTGATTGGAGGTTCTATTATATTCTCGGAAGTTCTATGAACTGATAGAAAGTTCTACGATGATCTCGGAAGTTCGATGAACATCTCAGAAGTTCTGTAAACTTCTCGGAAGTTCTATAAACTGCTCGGAAGTTCTTTGAACTGCTCGAAAATTCTATGATCACCTCGAAACTTCTATGAATACTTCGGAAGCTCAGTGAGCTACTCGGAAGTTCTGTCAACTCCTCGTAATTTCTATGGATATCTCGGGAGTTCCAAATATTTTATTTTATGATTTTATTGGAAGTCCTGTAAACTTCAAGGAAGTTCTATGAACTGGCCGAAAGTTTTTGGGACATTTCGGAAGTTCTATAGACATCTCGAAAGTTCTATTAATTGCTCGAAAGTTGAGTGAGCGATGTTTCTTAAATAAAGTCAAAAATAATAATAATACATCTTGGAAGTTCTAGCAACATGTAGGAACTTCAATGAACTGGTGGGAAATTCTAGAACATCTCGGAAGTACGATGAACATCTTGGAAGCTCTATGAACATCTCGGAAGTTCTATGAATTGTTCATAAGTTCTATGAACTGCTCGGAAGTTCTATGAATTGTTGGGAAGTTCTATGGACTGCTCGGAAGTTCTATGATAATTTTAGAAGTTTCACGAACATCTCGGCAGTCATATGAACTGCTTGGATGATCTATGGACTGCTCGGAAGTTCTATTAATTGCTCGGAAATTCTATAATCATCTCGGAAGGTCTATAAATACTTCGGAAGTTCTATGACCTGTTCAGAAGCTCTATGTGCTGCTTGGAAGTTCTATGAATTGCTCGGAAGTTCTATTATCAGCTCAGAAGTTTCATGAACATCTAGGAAGTTTTATGAACTGCTTGAAAATTGCATGATCATCTTGGAAGTTCTATGAATACCTCTGAAATTCTATGAACTATTCAAAAGCTCTATGTACTGCTTGGAAGTTCTATTAAATTCTCGGAAGTTCTATGAATTTCTGGGAGTTCTATGGACTGCTCGGAAGTTCTATGATAATCTCAGAAGTTTCATGAGCATCTCGTCAGTCATATGAACTGCTTGGATGATCTATGAACTGCTCGGAAGTTCTATGAACTACTCGGAAATTCTATGATCATCTCGGAAGGTCTATGAATACCTCGGAAGTTCTATGACCTGTTCAGAAGCTCTGTTTACTGCTTGGAAGTTCTATTAAACTCTCGGAAGTTCTATGAATTTCTGGGAAGTTCTATGAACTGCTCGGAAGTTCTATGATAATCTCAGAAGTTTCATGAACATCTCGGTTCAATGAACTGCTTGAAAATTTCATCATCATCTTGAAAGGTCTATGAAAACCTTGGAAATTCTATGAACTGTTCAGAAGTTGTATGTATTGCTTGGAAATTCTATTCAATTCTCAAAAGTTCTGTGAACTGCTGGGTAGTTATATGAACTGCTCAGAAGTTCTCTGATGATCTCGGAAGTTTCATTACTATCTCAGAAGTTCTATGAGAGTTTTAGAAGCTCTATAAACATCTCGGAAGTTTTATGAACTGCTCGGAAATTCTATGATTATCTCGGAAGGTCTATGAATACCTCGGAAGTTCTATGAACTGTTCAGAAGCTCTATGAACTGCTCGGAAGATCGTTAAAATTCTCTGAACTTCTATGAGAGTTTTGGAACTTTTATGAACATCTCAGAAGTCATATGAACTACTTGGATGATCTATGGACTGCTCAGAAGTTCCATCAACATCTCAGAAGTTTTATAAGAGTTTTAGAACTTCCATAAACATCTCGAAAGTTTTATGAACTGCTCGGAAATTCTATGATTATCTCGGAAGGTCTATGAATACCTCGGAAGTTCTATGAACTGTTCAGAAGCTCATTGCACTGTTCGGAAGATCGTTAAAATTCTCGGAACTTCTTTGAACATCTCGGAAGTCCTATGAACTGCTTTGATGATCTATGAACTGCTCGAAACTTCTATGAACATCTCCAAAGTTCCATGCACATTTTGGAAGTTCTATGAACATATCGGAAGTTCAGTGAATTACTCGGAAGATCTATGATCATCTCTAGAGTTCCATGATCATCTAGAAAATCCTATGAATATCTCGTAAGTCCTGTGGACTGCACGAAAGCTTATGAACTGGTGAAGAGGATGCTGGGGGGCATCTCTTAGCTCAGTCGGTAAAGGCGCAGCTACGAAGCAAGACCATGCTGGAGGTGGCTGGGTTCAATTCGTGGTCGGGTCTAGGAAGTTTTCGGGTTGGAAAATTTCTTGACTTCCCTGGGCATAGAAGTATGATTGGACTTGTCACACAATTATACAAATGCAAAAAATGTACAGGCATCGAAAGCTCTCAATTAATAACTGTGAAGTGCATCTTGAACACTAAGTTGAGAGCACGCAATAAGCTAATATGCGATATGTAATAAGCTTGAAATACGAAGAAGAAGAAGAAGAAGAGGATACGAAAAAGAAAAGAGCGATTCGTAATGATGTTGAAGTGCCGTACTTGTTGGAAGTTCTTTTAATACATCGGAAGTTCAGTAAACCTGTCAAAAATTCTGTGAACTTGCTTGAAGTTCAGTGAAATTGAGGGAAGATAGCTCAAGTAACAATTTTGAGCTTATGACATGACCATGATTTTGACTTGTAGTATGCTTTAAAACCATAAAACTTAAAATGTTACTTGGGAAGTGAACTTGGCATAACTTTTATGAACTTGTCGCAAGATCTATGAACTGCTGGGAAGTTTTATGAACTGCTCGGAAGTTCGCTGATGATCTCGGAAGTTCCATGAACATCTCGGAAGTTCCATAAACTTCTCAGAAGTTCTATGAGCTGGTCGTAAATAATATGATCATCTCGAAATTTCTATGAGAATCTCTGATGCTCTATGAATACCTCGGAAGTTCTATGAGCATATCAGAAGTTCTGTGAACTACTTGGAAGTTCGGTCAACTGCTCGTAAGTTCTATGGATATTTCGGGGGTTCTACAAACATCTGGAATAGTTTATGATTTTCTTGAAAGTCCTGTAAACTGCACTTAAGTTCTAAGAACTGGTCGGAAGTTCTAGGGTCATTTCGGAAGTTCTATGAGCATCTTGCAAGTTCTATTAACTGCTCGGAAGTTAAATAAAGACAATTATAATAATCATCTTGGAAGTTCTATCAATATCTCGGAACTACTATGAACTGCTTGAAAATTCTAGAACAGCTCGGAAGTTCTTTGAATCTCGGAAGCTCTATGAATTGTTCAGAGGTTCTATGAACTGCTCGGAAGTTCTATGAAATTGTGAAAAGTTTTATGAGTGTTTTGGAAGTTCTATGAACACCTCGAAAGTCCTATGAACTGCTTGGATGATTTATGGACTGCTTGGAAGCTCTATGAACATCTCGGAGGTTCTATGAACTGCTAGGAAATTCAATGAGAGATGCGTCTTAAATAAAGACAATAATAATAATACATCTTGGAAGTTTAACAACATCCTGGAACTTCTATGAACTGCTCAAAACTTCTAGAACATCTCGGAAGCTCTATGAATTGTTCCGAGGTTCTATTAACTGCTCGGAAGTCCTATAAAATTGTCGGAAGTTTTATGAGTGTTTTAGAAGTTCTATGAACATCTCCGAAGTCCTCCCTAGCAGCACACTTGTCTCTGAAAAGTCGTATTAACTTGTTTGCAACTTATTCCAGTCAAAATCAAGTTGCAGCAACCTATTTTGATGGAAGTGTGTTGCTTGGGGAACTGCTTGGATGCTCGGAAGCTCTATGCACATCTCTGAAGTTCTATGAAAATGTTGAATGTTCTATGAACACCCCGAAAGTTATAGGAACTGTTCAGATGCTCTTTGAGCTGCTCGGAAGTTCTATAAAATTCTCGAAAGTTCGCTGAGAGTTTTGAAAGTTCTATGGATATCTCGGAAGTCCTATGAACTGCTTGGATGGTCTAAAGACTACTCGGAAGATCTATGAACATATCTGGAGTTCCATGAACATCTATGAATTTCTCTAAATTCCTGTGAACTGCACGAAAGTTTAGGAACTGCTGAAGGGGATGCTGAAACGGGATTAATACAAAGAAATGGAACATAAATGAGAGATTGTTAATGGTGTTGGAGTTTTGTAAACTTCTAGATAGAGCTGGAATTAGGGCCTACAGCTTTTGTAAATAATGACTTCTCTCGATTATTTCTAGAAATTCAAGGCGTGTCCACGCAAACCTACATAACCATCGGTTAGGGGAAGACTTCTCCTACCTGTTTGTGTTATTGATTTGCTTGGGCGAGCCTTGAGTTTCTAGAAATCATCGAGAGAAGTCATTGTTTACAAAAGCTGTTACGCCCTAATTCCAGCTCTATCTAGACTTGTCATAAGCTCTATGAATATGTCGGAAGTTCAAAAAAAATTGTGGAAAGGTAAGTGAACTTGACGTATAGTTTATGAACTTGTCGGAAGGGATGTGAACTGGTCAGAATTTTAGTGAACCTGTTGGAAGTTCTGAGAACTTCTCGAAAAATCCATGAATATGTTGGAAGATCAGTGAAACTGTTCAAGTCACGTCCATGACCAGGAATTACTTAAAAGACCTTCAGTTGATCAAAAATCTCCATAAAATTCATTGGATATGTTTTGACGTATTATTCTGAAACTTCAACTGTCCATCAATTCAAGCTACGGCTCTCAGATATTCTCTCAAGATATCAGGTCGACCAGGAATTATTCCATAGACCTTCAGTTGATCGAAGATCTCCATAAAGTCCATTGGATATTTTTTCAAGATTTCATTTTTAACAGATATTGTTCTGAAGATCTTCAAAGGTCCGAAAATTTTAGTCACGTAGATATCAGATATTTTTTAAAGATATCAGGTCGACCAGGAATTATTCCAAAGACCTTCAATTGATCAAAAATCGCCATAAATTCTTTGGATTTTTTCGAAGACTTCAAGTTGATGACGTATTATTCTGAAGCTTCAACTGTCCATGAATTCAAATAACGGCTCTCCGATATTCTCTCAAGATATCAGGTCGATCAGGAATTATTCTAAAGACCTTCAGTTGATCAAAGATCTCCATAAAGTCCTTTGGATATTTTTTCAAGATTTCAGGTTGAACATATATTGTTCTTAAGATCTTCAACTGTCCGAAAATTTAAGTCACGTATCAGATATTTTTTAAAGCTATCAAGTCGACCAGGAATTATTAGAAAGACCTTCAATTGATCAAAAATCGCCATAAATTCTTTGGATATTTTTTGAAGTTTCAACTGTTCATCAATTCAAGTTACGGCTCTCAGATATTTTTTTAAAGATATCAGGTCGACCAGGATCAAAAGATCCAAAGACCTTTAGTTGATCAAAGATCTCCTTTGGATATTTTTTCAACACTTCAGGTTGAACAGATATTATTCTTAAGATCTTCAACTGTCCAAAAATTTAAGTCACGTCTCTCAGATATTTTTTAAAGATATCGGAACGACCAGGAATTATTCCAAAGACCTTCAGTTGATCAAAAATCTCCATAAAGTCCTTGTGATATTTTTTCAAGATTTCAGGTTGAACAGATATTGTTGTGAAGATCTTCAACTGTCCACAAATTTAAGCCACGTCTCCCAAATGTTTTTAAAGATATTAGGTCGACCAGGAACTATTTCAACGACCTTCAGTTGATCAAAGATCTCCATAAAGTCCTTGGGATATTTTTTCAAAAGTTCAAGTTGGTCAGATATTATTCTGAAGATCTTCAAGGGAACAACAATTTCAGTTACGTCTCTCAGATATTTTTTAAAGTTATTAGGTCAACCAGGAATTATTTCAAATACTTTCAGTTGATTAAAAATCACCATTAAGTTCTCTGGATATTTTTTTTTTTCAAAACTTCACGTTGGTTAGATATTGTTCTGAAGATCTTCGACAGGCAATAATTCAAGTCACGTCTGTCTGATATTTTCAAAAAGGGATTAGGTTGGCAAAGACAACGGTCCAGAAAAAGATGATTTTTGTCCAACTTATCCTGGAGTTATTTCATATTCCCTTGAAAGTTCCATCCATCTGTGATTGATTTCCTCCTCCTAATTTTCCCGGAAATGTTTTCCCATTTGGTGTGAATTAAACTGTTTTAGAAATGTATACTCAGCATGTCTTTTGTGATAAGTAATAGCTATTTTCCCCGGAAATCGAAATCCTCTGTGCTACTTTTCCAATTAGTTTATTATTAAATTAATCAATTTGAAATTGAAAATTGGTTTGTTTTTTTTTTTTTGATTAACTGTCGGTGATTATAATGCTGTTTTTAAACTAGGAGTTGTAACGTGTTATATTATGGGATTTATTACGGATGTCACTTCACGGTGAAACTTGTCACTTGTCGTCACGGTGAAGTGATTCCTATTTGATTTGTACGGCAATCACGGCCCTTATTCTGAGTATCACTTCCTTATCACCGTGTAGTGACACCCGTAATAAGGCCCTATAAGTAGTTTATAAGGTACCAGAACAATCGTAATAGAGATTATTCTTGAATTTACAGCTCTCCAGTCTAAACGTGGCATAAATGTAACCCACTATTCATCATAAATGTTAAGGCTTATGTTTATTAGTATTCTGTTCTTCAACAGTGCAAAAAGAAACTGTTTTTCACAGGGCATGTAAAAAATATCATTATATCATATTCAAAATTACCATAAAATTCTCCTCCAACTTTCCAATAAATTCCATAGGTACTCTACTCGTAATTACCCTGGGATTTTCTTTGGAATTCCCTAGAAATTCTCTTGAGGTTTACCATGGAATTCTTCTTAAAATTTCTTTGCAACCAAATATTTCAATAATTAAATTTCTTTGGAAGTCTTCTCAATTTTTTTTAACTCGTAATGCTCATCAGAAATCCTTTGAAAATCTCCTCAAAAGTCTCTTTGGAATTTCCTTCTGAATTTTCTCGAAACTTTCCAACGAAATTGATTTAAATTATGCACTATTTTTTATTCGAATGAAAGCAATCCAACTGTTTCTTTGAAAAGTGTTTCCTTTTAAATTTCATCAACAACATCATTTCTATGAGGCTACCGCAAATTTGCGATCAAATCAGCCCACAATAGAATATCCAACACTTTTTACAACCTGCAATCTTCCTTTCCTTTTAGGAACCGCCTCCCCCCGTGAGAATGGCATGATGCCGAAAAAACTAGACGTTCAGGACCGCGAACGCATCGGAACCCACTCGCCTCGATCAGGTATGTCATCCTTCTCTCAAATAAAAAAAAAACAAAAACACCAACCAATTATGTAAATATTCCACATGTTTGCCCCTTATCGCATCAAAAATATATATATTTTTAAAATATTCACTCCTCAACATTTGCACCCCGTCGTCGTTGGCTTGGCAGTGGTCTTCTTCCCACACAACTCACCCAGTTTTCGCTTCTTCTCTTTGTCGGAATTCTCGTCAATCCACCCGATATCGTTCAACTGACCCAGTTGAATTCTTTCCTCCGGATCCGGATTCAGCAGTTCGAAAACCGTTATCTTCGCCTCCAAACTCAGCTGCTTGTCGACGGCTTCGTCGAACCCAAAGTTCCGATTCCGGTGGTCTTCAACCAGTTTCTTCAGGTTCCGATCGTCAAACGGCATCGCCGCATTCAGCATCACGTACAGAATAATACCCAGCGACCAAACGTCGGCCCACATCGGATTGTACGGTTTGCCCAGGATGACCTCCGGAGCGGCGTAAGCCGCTGAACCGCAGTACGTGCAGGAGAAGTTCCCATTCTCCTCGCCACAGACGCGTGCAAAGCCAAAGTCCGCCAGCAGGATGGTTCCCTTCTTCGAAATTAGGATGTTCTCGCACTTGAGATCCCGGTGGGCAATGTCGATCGAATGGAGGTACTTCAAAGCACTGACCAGCTGGGCGAACCACCGCTTGGCTTGACTCTCCTTGACGATCCCGTTCTTGTTGATGTACTTGAGCAGGTCTCCTCCCTCCGCGTAGTCCATGAAGATAAACACCATCCGTTCCCGTTTGAGAATGCTGTGGATCCGGACGATGTGCCGATGGCGGATCTTCATCAGAACATTCAACTCTCGCGGGAAAAACTTCTTGACAAACTCCTCCGTTCCCTTGCGAACGTCGATCACCTTGCAGGCCAGTGTTTGGACGTTCTGATTTTTGCTGATATACTTGGCCAACCGGACGGAGGAAAATGATCCCTTTCCGATCTTGATTCCCATGTGGTATCCGTGCAGGTTGAGCGCTCGCGTGATGGATGAACTGGAGTCCGACGCCTTGGTTTCCACAGTGCTAGTGCTGCTCTTGCCGTCAGCCTTGGTGGACATTGTTTTAGAATTTGGGAATGAAATTTGTTCCGGCAGTTATTTAGAATTTGCTGCGCAAAATTTAGACCCGATTCGACGTCTCCCCGTGAAGCGAGATAACTGAAAAGGAAAAGTTAAAGGTTGCTGCGATTTGCGATAAGGTGGCGGAAGCATTTTGACTCGGCTTTTGCTAATTCATTTTTTTCTGCTCTCTCTACTTTCACACAGGAACTTCCTCAAACGCTTCCACCCCGTCCAACAAGAAAATGGACGATAAACCAACGACACCCATTGCCAAACCTGCCACACCGACCAACTCGGCCGCCAGTAATGGCGTGCCGAAGGTCGTGAACAAACCGCCCGTATTGAACCCAGGCTATCCGCCGTACCTGGGTGGACCCCTCAACGGTGAGTGCCCGAGCGATGGTCTCAAATAGAGTAGCTAACAATCTTTTGACTTTCCGGTTTTTAGGAGCACCTCACGAACTGCAAGCCGCCTACGGTGGCCCGGGAGTGCACAACAATCTTCCTCACTCGTTGAACAACTATGCCCGCGCGCCGCTGGCGTTCGATCCACACCCGCAGATGCGAGCCCCGCTGGGGCCGATTGCCATTCCCGGAGGAAAACCGTGAGTATTTGTTTGGATAAGTAGAAGTTTAGTTAAGTTGAAGCGGTTGCATTGGGTAGGTTAGTTGGGTAAGTCTGACATCTGATCAAATTAGGCCGTTCGCAATGCTGAGTTTCAAAATTGTTTCAAACTATTCGACAGTTCTAAAATTTGGTGAATAATTTATTTGATGAGGCTCAATCGAATTAACTTTTCAGAGCCGAGGATTCTTGTTCACTATACAATACAGTTTAAAACTATAATCAAAAGGTACATCACAATAAATACATTATCTTCCGCTATCGAATAAGCCTCCAGTGGTTTCATTGTATGACAGTACCGCCAACGGAGGGCAGAGCGCATCCATTGCAGCAATGGACGCAAAATGTGGTCAGCACTCACACCCTCCTCACGAAACGGTTGCTTTCCAAAGTCGACGACGCATCGACCGAAAGAACAATGAAGAGGATCACACAATGGTTGCTGCCGAATAAACAGACAATCGCGAGACACATATCGAGAGTGGGCTGTTTCTGTCGACAACAATGAGTTCTAAAATTTTAAACTGTCAAAAATGAAACTGCAACACGATCAGTGCAACGCACAGTTTTAAAAGGTGTATCCATCTCTACATAGGTATGCGTGTTCAAAGTTTGTTGGCTGATGGCTTTGGGAATACTTTCGGAGCAACATGGTATCATAAGAGAATATATGTATTATTGGACAGTACAAGATCTTCAGAAGTATTTGAAAATATATCCAGAGAAGTTTTTGGAGATCTATGATCGCCAGAAGATTTTTTGTAAAAATTAGGAATCATCTGGTTTCCTGCGAGACATGATTTAAATTGTTCGACAGTTTGGGATTTTCAGAATAGTACCTGATCAACCAGCTGTCTTCAGTATAGTACCTGAAAAGGCTTGACTTGAATAAATATCCTGAGTACCTTATGGAGATCTCGAATTACCTGAAGGTTTATGAAATAATTTCTGAGTTGCTTGGTATTATATGAGAAAATATCTTAGGAATGTGATTTGGATTGTTGTGATAATTATTTATGGAGATCGCTGGTATCCTGATGGTCTTTAAAACAGACGACGTGATTTTAGTTGTTGTACAGTTGAAGATCTTCAGAATAATATCTCTGATCACCTGAAGGTCTTTGGAAAATATTGTGAGTCACTTGGTATCATGAAAGTTTGAAAGAATAGAATCTGATCAAACTGAAGTCTTAAAAAAGTATCCAGAGGACTTTCTGCAATTGAAAAGGCCTCAATTCCATTTTGTAAACAAACTATGTAAGACCATTTTGTCGCGAACCGAAGTTCGTGAACAAATCCTCTACCCGATTTTTTTTTAGGTTTGCGAATGTAGGTTTCGGTTCGCGAGAAAATGGCCTTACAATGTTTGTTTACAAAATGCAAATGTCAATTGTTGGTCTTGATATGACAGAATATCTGAGACATGCGATTTGGATAGTTAGATATTTTTAGAATGATCGGAAAAATTACGACATTTGAAAAAACTTGGAAATTTCAAAATGAAAATTCAAAAGTCGCTTGGGATTTTAGACAGAACTCTTTGAAATTTTAAAATTACTAAAATCAATTATTCCAATGATTAAAACTCTACAACTTTCTCAAGTCTTCAAAATTTTCCAGTTCCAATATGCTGTTTCCAAAATCCTACATTTTAAGTATTTTTCTCAGTCCAAGATTGTTGAAGAAAAATCCAATTCTGTTTATTTTTGTCTAATTCTAGGATCACGAAAATATTTAAAACTCACAAATCCCGAAAAAATCATAGTCTAAGGCTTTAAACGTCTAAACAAAATGTCGAAGCCTTCAGAATCTTGGAAATTTTCTAATTTGTTTTAGAAGATTTCTGTTAATAGGTGTGTTAAAACATGTTCATGTTCGGAGATCTGAAGTTGAAGATTTATAAAATAATTTCTTAATTTAATCTCTCACTCTAAAATTCCCATTCAACCCGATAGATTTCAGGTAATGACCTATTAACAAATCCACGACTACACGACTGTTACTTTGTTAATTCTGGTGATTTGAAATCAAAAGAAGACTCAAGCTTTAAAAACTATCAAATTCTCTTAATTGACCACTTTGTCAAGCAGTTTTAACGTGACTTTCTACCAGCGATTTCACAAAACCGGACCAACTAATTTCTATTTTTTTATGAAACGCACAAATGTTGGCTATTTCTCTCGAGGTCCTAGAAGAAAAAATCTCAAAATAATGTTTTATTTCAAAGTTCGAGTGGTAGTAAACGTCATTTTAAGTGCTCGATGAAGTGGTTAATTGATTTTCTCTTTAAAGTGAAAGTTAATGCTTTTCCCTTGATACTGAATCCACACCCGTTCAAACCACACCCAAATTCGAAATACACCAATACCAACAAGCATTGCAAATTAGAAAAATGAGAAGTATTGAAATTTTGAACATATTCGTAAACATAATATCATTGTATAATTATAATAATTCTACTACTGAAATGACAACTTCAATTCCAAGATTCCAAGTTCAGGGTAGTCCTACTAATGCTCAGGGTAGTCTTCCTGTAGTTCAGGGAAGGCCTGCCGAACTTCAGCGAAGTCCTGATGAAGTTCGGGGAAGCCCTGCCGATAGTCCTGCCGAAGTTCAGGGAAGTCTTGCTGAAGTTCAGGGAAGTTCTGCGGAAATTCAGAAAAGTTCTGTTGAAGTTCAGGGAAGTTCTGCCGATGTTCAGGGAAGTTTTTTTCGAACTATAGGGAAGTCGTGCCAATGTTCAGAGAACTCCTGCCGAAGTTCAGGGAAGTCCTGCTGAAGTTCAGAGAAGTTCTGCCGAAGTTCAGGGAAGTCCTGCTGAAGTTCAGAGAAGTTCTGCCGAAGTTCAGGGAAGGGCTGCTGAAGTTCAGGGAAGGGTTGCTGAAGTTCAGGGAAGTCCTGCTGAAGTTCAGAGAAGCCTTGCCAAAAGTTCTGCTGAAGTTCAGGAAAGTCTTGCTGAAGTTCAGGGAAGTCTTGCTGAAGTTCAGGGAAGTTCTACGGAAATTCAGAGAAGTTCTGTTGAAGTTCAGGGAAGTTCTGCCGATGTTCAGGGAAGTTTTTTTGAACTATAGGGAAGTCGTACCAATGTTCAGAGAACTCCTGGCGAAGTTCAGGGAAGTCCTGCTGAAGTTCAGAGATGTTCTGCCGAAGTTCAGGGATGTTCTGCCGAAGTTCAGGGAAGGGCTGCTGAAGTTCAGGGAAGGGCTGCTGAAGTTCAGGGAAGTCCTGCTGAAGTTCAGAGAAGCCTTGCCAAAAGTTCTGCCGAAGTTCAGGAAAGTCTTGCTGAAGTTCAGGGAAGTTCTGCGGAAATTCAGAGAAGTTCTGTTGAAGTTCAGGGAAGTTCTGTCGATGTTCAGGAAAGTTTTTTCGAACTATAGGGAAGTCATACCAATGTTCAGAGAACTCCTGCCAAAGTTCAGAGAAGTTCTTCAAATGTTCAGGGAAGTCCTATTGAAGTTCAGGGAAGTCCTGCCGAAGTTCAGAGAAGTCCTGCCGAAGTTCAGAGAAGTTCTGCCGAAGTTCAGGGAAGGGCTGCTGAAGTTCAGGGAAGTCCTTTCATTTCAATTCTCGAAAATCAGGGCATGATGAAGTTCAGGGAACTCATGCCGAAGCTCAGGGAAGGCCTGCCGAACCTCAGAGAAGTCCTACCGTAGTTCAGGGAAGGCCTGTCAAAGTTCAGGGAACTCCTGCTGAAGTTCAGCGATGTCCTGCCGAAGCTCAGAGAAGTTCTGCCGAAATTCAGGGAAGTTATGCCAAAGTTCGTGGAATTATCTAATTATCTTTAAAAATACCAAGATAAATCAGAATACCTTCATCATAAAGACTGAAATGTTTACAAAATATACTCAAATACTTGTGACACAACTTGATAAATTTGAAGATCAAATTGGTTTAAAAAATATTTTGTTGATCAATGGCAAAGGTGGATGATTTCTACAACATTTGAAGATATAGTTCAATTTATCTAATTATCTTTAAAAATACCTAGATATAACAGCATACCGTCATCAAACAGGCTGAAATTTTCGCAGAATATCCTCAAATACTTGTGAAACAACATGTGAAAAATGAGGAACCTTTTGATTAGAAAAATATTTCATTTAGCAATGGCACAGGCTGGGATTGAACCCAGACCCATTGGGGTGTTAGAAAGCAGTCACGTTTATCATTACACCACCGGCACCAGCCATCGGGGCATTGGACAAGTAGAACTGCGAATAATTTGATCAAATCTCATGCTCCTTAATGGTGCCCTTTATGTTGTGAAGACTAGTACTTCAAAAAGGGTAACTTTTGAGGCAAGACAGGGTGACCTCAACAAGTTAAGGGAACAAGATGCACTAGATGTCCACAACAGGTACAGCAAAGCATCACATAGACGCCCTTATGCACACTAACTACTCAGGGGGTAGAAGGTCAAGAAGAGCCAACGCCGCCAACTAAAGCTTGAACCGGTCAGCAGACGATGCCCTTGGAGCATTCTTACGCACAGATACATGCAAAAGCCAGTTGATTGCTTAGGAAAACGAAATCTAATGCTTGGAATTGCGTTACATAAAAAAATGGTTTGCATTGCAAAAATGCATTTTACAGGTATGTTGTCTTGGGAGGAAATGTACCTGACAATATTTTGAAACGATCTACGGGAGTGAAATATGACCTTTCATACGAAATACTTGTTTAATTGATGAGCAAAGTTAGCGACCACTATGATTGCGGTCTTAAATTTGAACTTAGAAAATCGTTTTCAGAAAATTTAAACAATAAATCAATCTTGTAAAAATTGCTAGAGATAGCCATTTTAGCTCTTTAATTTTGCACGGAAGAGTTTTTTTCGATTGAGCGCTGCGTTATTTTGAAAAAATCGATGAAGTGAGTCATTCTAAACCAATCCACTTTCACCTTAAATTGCTACAGTTTAGGGAAGCTATTTTCTGAAATTTGTCCAATACAGTACTGTAACAGGTTGTCTTGACTATCAAAAGCAACAGCAAAACACCCAGAAATGTTAATCCAAGCGAGTTATTAGCAAAAGAAAAAATCGATGGTGAGAATCGATCATTGTAATTAGGCCCTTATGAACGCTCTCTATTGAATTTATTCATTGCCATAATTTCAACACTTTCATTTTTTTGCTAGTTATTAACAACCGGTAAATTTTTAACCGAGACAACCCGAAAAACCCAGCGGCGTCGGTGTGTAAGCGTAACTGCCTCTCACTCCAAAGGGCCTGGGTTCAATCCCAGTCGGTGCCGTAGGTATTTTCTGAGGCATAAAATCTCTGATCACGTCTTGCTTCGGAAGGGAAGTAAAGCCGTTGGTCCCCGGTCGATGGGTCGATAGGTAGGGTTCAAGCAGTGCTGATAAAAATCGTTCCTTCTACACTCAACTTAGCTGAAAATGAAGACAACCTTAACAGATAGACCAACTACCTGCATGAATTCGAATTTTGACATAAACACATTCTCTTGATCAAGGCAAGCTCTGAGTATCATTCATTCGTGGCTGGATGTTCATCTTGGTGGGGATAATTTTGAGGATCAAAAGCAAAAGGATTATTTATTTTCATACTACACTAATACGCTGTAGAACGTGTTCTGTTGGTTTTTATACACAGATTGATGGAAAATTATTTCCTCATGCTGAATTGATGATAATGACGAGGTTTTAGGCTCTGGAATCGACAATATTCAAGATAATCATTTTGCCCAGCATGAATTTGATTATTCTGCTTTTGAGGATCGTTTCCGATTTTGACAATTTTGGGTTGGATAATCAAGCAGTGGTTCGCGTATCCGTTGATGAAAAATGAACTCATTTCGACAGTTAGCATGCATAAGGGCGAAGCCAGGGAGGCAGCTTCCACACTTGAACCCAGTGTCTATTTTTATCATTTACCATCACACGCAAGGAGTAGCGCTTCAACGCAGTGTAGATGAATTGCGTTCGTTTTGAATATCTTTGCTATGAAGTACGAGCGAAACGAACAAATCGACAGTGAGCATGCATAAGGGCGTAAACGCGATAATCGATTCGCTTCGTCGATTTTTTCTTTTGTAATTCGCTTGGATTAACGTTTCTCGGCAAAACGAACGCAATTCATCTACACTGGGTTGAAGCGCTACTCCTTGCGTGTGATGGTAAATGATAAAAACAGACACTGGGTTCAAGCATAGAGGTAACTCTAAGACCAAAAGGTCCTGACGAAAAGTGCTCCACTTTTTGGCTCAGCTCTGGTACTATCTTCGGTCCCAAGCTAATCGATGCACCCCTCGAAACATAGGAAAATTCACGAACCCCTCATTTTATCTTTCAAATTTTCATAGTGAATCAAAACAAACATAGTGTAGTACTAGAATTTCGACTGGAATGGGGTACGTTAATCGAGTTGCTTGGGATCAATAGGCTAGTCAAGTAGTGAGTAATTTTAAAATCGATAGTTTCGTATTGATTGTTGGTTCAAGTGTGGGAGCTGCCTTCCTTAAGTCGGTACCATTGGTACTCAAACAAACAACGGTAGCATTGTAAAACAAGACCGACGAAAAAATTCTGGAAAACCCCTGGCATTTTAAAATGAAAATTCACTTCAACTTAAACATTGCTTTAAATGAGCGGAAATTTTAACACTGATGGTATCGAGTGGTATCGAGGTTGATTGGTTTTTGTTTTCAAATCCAATAACCTTAAATTATTTTTTCAGTCCAGGATCTGACTGGCTTAGGTCTGTAATTTTCTTAATTCAATCTTTTACAACAAGCCTCTTCAAGCAACGCAAAACAGTCGTGAAGATCTTTGCTCCGAGATTGCCCTGTTGGATAAGGCTCAACGACGGTGGCTCAAATTTCATCATCCAAAAGCTGTGCACATCCGCAAATTTAACTCGATGCTTTCCCGCCTGCAGAAACCAACTGATGAGCATTTTCAACTTTGTACATTAAGATGTTTAATTCCATTCTCGATAAAATAGGTAGTATAATAAAAGGCTATGGAACCATACCCTAAACAACATAAATCCAATGCAACTCTCCGACTGAAATTGCTTTCCTCCAAAGATTGTTTAAACTAAACTCACCTTCTCTCTCCCACTCTCTCTCTCTCTCTTTTCATTCCAGCGCCTATTCTTTTCACGTGAACGCCGAAGGTCAAATGCAGCCAGTCCCTTTTCCCCAGGACGCCCTGGTTGGACCGGGGATCCCCAGGCACGCCCGTCAAATCAGCTCCCTTAACCACGGCGAAGTCGTGTGCGCCGTCACGATCTCGAACCCCACCAAGTACGTGTACACCGGTGGTAAGGGTTGCGTCAAAGCGTGGGACATCTCCCAGCCCGGTAACAAGAATCCCGTCTCGCAGTTGGACTGTCTGGTGCGTTTAGCGATCTTGTTCCGAAACCCGACGGTGAAGCATACTAATTCTCGATTTTATTTCCCAATCTTCAGCAACGGGACAACTACATCCGCTCAGTGAAGCTGCTGCCCGATGGTCGGACGCTGATCGTTGGTGGTGAAGCGTCCAACCTGTCCATCTGGGATCTCGCTAGTCCAACACCTCGCATCAAGGCCGAACTGACCTCGAATGCGCCGGCCTGCTACGCGCTGGCCATCTCGCCCGACTCGAAAGTGTGCTTCTCCTGCTGCTCCGACGGAAACATTGCCGTCTGGGACCTGCAGAACCAGACCCTGGTGCGGCAGTTTCAAGGTATTTCCCTACCCTCTATCCCCCACACGGGACGAGTTTATTAATTTCAAGTTCTATTCTTAGGTCACACCGACGGAGCTTCCTGCATTGATATTAGCGCCGATGGTACAAAACTGTGGACCGGTGGGTTGGACAACACCGTCCGATCGTGGGATCTCCGGGAAGGTCGACAGCTACAACAGCATGACTTCACCTCGCAGATATTCTCGCTCGGCTACTGTCCGACTGGTAAGTCCTAGGCTGCTCGATTCTTTCCTAAGTCGTAAATTAATCCCAATTTCTTCCCAACAGGTGAATGGCTCGCCGTCGGCATGGAGAACTCCAACGTCGAGGTGCTGCACGCCAACAAACCGGACAAGTATCAGCTTCACCTGCACGAGAGCTGTGTGCTAAGCTTGAAGTTCGCCGCCTGCGGCAAGTGGTTCGTGTCCACCGGCAAGGACAACCTGCTAAACGCGTGGAAGACACCGTACGGTGCTTCGATCTTCCAGGTAATTTTCTCCGTATCTACATCGCAGGTCAGCATTTCTAACACTCCCATTTCTCCCCACCAGTCAAAGGAATCATCCTCCGTATTAAGCTGTGATATCTCGGCCGACGATAAGTACATCGTGACCGGCTCGGGCGACAAGAAGGCCACCGTCTACGAGGTCATCTACTAGTGTGGTGCTGGAACTAACCGCATCAGAGAGAAAACAAAAAAAAAAGAGAACCCACCACCCCGCAAAATTCACGGAGTATGCAAACAACACACTGAAACAAATATTAACACCACTTCCGTTGACGTCTCAGTCCAAAGTCGGTGCACCAAAAGTGTCATATATAGTTTGTTAGAAAAGAAAAACAAAAAGAAAGCAAACAAACAATTTGAACAGTAGTAGTTTAAAGCAACAAATAACAAAGGATAAAAAAGGAAAGTAACCTGTAAAGCCTGATTACACTCATTAAGCTACACTTTAAGCTAAAAAGAAGAAGAAGAAGAAGTAAACAAACGATTAACTGTGTATAAAGTAGTGTACGTATTGTGTCTAGAGGAAAACAAAAAAGCATAACTTTTTGGTTGAAAGTACAGAAATCCTAATGTAAAAAGCCTAAGTTTTCGTTTTTGATCGTAAGAATATTACAAACTAGTAGAAACCAGAAAAGAAAAAAGTGCTCTCACCTATAAAATAAAATGCTACATCTCTGACAGGTGTCCAATTGCAGCTTGTATTATATATACAGATAAAAGAAGAAAAAAAATATGAATGAAGTTAACTTCAAAACAAAGGCAACTGTAGTTTGATTTGATTTCTGGAAAAAGGCTTTCTAGGAGAAACGTAAGATTCCCGTTCCCGTTCTCGGGGAGCGAGTAGGATTTATTTGTTTCTAGTGGTAGATATTTGTTTAGTCGTCTCCTAGTTTTTTTTTTTTTTTTTGTTTAAACCGGATCATTAGAAGATTGAGAAAAGAAGCTTTACTTTTTGTTGATAAGCTCTCCCGAGAGAACCGAGATGAACTAATTTCGCGAAGTATGTATGTAAGGATAGGTAGCTTTTAGGCGGTAGCGTAGCGATTTAGGATGCTTTTGTTTATAATATTGTTTAGGGTCACGTGTGCTAGGAAAGCACGGAAATGTATGATCTTTTTTTTTTTAAGTAGAGAGAATGAGAGAGTGAAGGTTAAGAAGAACAATAGTAAATGTTAGTGAAACAACAGGAATAAGAAGCAGCATAGCTAGAGTTGCGTAATTACACAAAACGGACAACGGCTGCTCGTTGCGTAGTCGCTGCGAAGTATGTAAAGATAACAATATGTAACTATTGTTTTTTTATGAAAAAAAATACTGAAAATTGTTCTTATTTTTCAATCAAACAGCTTTTTTTTGTATTATGTCGTCCGAACGTCCGTTAAGACATGCTTTTTTTAATTATTTGTAGCAGCTGGAATATACCTGTCTCTGAACAGCTGCAGATTGTTCGTCTTGCGAATTTTTCAAAATTTTGCCATTTAAAACAACATCAAAACTGATTCTTAACTCTCAGAGGCGTCACATAGTGTGATTTTTCCGGATTTGCATTAGTTTCCCGGAGTTCCAAAAGCTCTCGAATTTGGCAACTGCACTTACAAATCTTAAACCCTCCCCCTTATTCTGCGAGTCACGTGACTCCCTGTCACCGGTGAGGTGACAATTGTCACCGGTGAGGTGACAATTGTCACCTCGTGTGAGGTGACTCTCCATGTAAATCAAATGGAGAGTCACCTCACACGAGGTGACTATTGTCACCTCACCGGTGAGAGAGAGTCACGTGACTCGCAGAATAGGGGGGCCTATTTCATACTTCAATTATTAAAATGTGTGGATCGCTAAAATGTAAATTTTGTTGTATGTTGCTAAAGATGTTCCCTTGTACCGCCATGGTCTCCATCCAGTGGATTTTTCCCAGCAAAATTGGCGCGGAAAAGTTATGGAACGCCTCTGTATCGCGTTGACAAAATCGTAGGTCACTCATAGGTTGAGTAAAATGTTCCTTACTTTTCCTGAAAAGCGTTCAAGTCCAATGAGAATAACTCAGAGTGAGAGTCACTACTTCTTACAGGTATGGAGAAATTTCTAAAATTGCAGGAGCTCAACGCTGAGTAGGTACCTGCAGTTTTTTTTATAAATTTCTCATACAACTATGTGTAGTGTTCATTATCCGTTAAACGTGCAATCGATACGAATGCGATGATACGAACAAGTACCGAATGTGGATCATTTGACGAATGAAATATATAGTCGTTGTATAGCCATCAAGTGAAACACTAGCCTTTTATTTTATTTCCCTATCACGAAATACAATAGTGTCAACGAGGATAGTTTAAAAACCCAGTGCGTGCAAGTGCAATAAATCGGTGTGAAACACCGTGTGCAAAGTTTATTTCTATTAATAATTAAAACAAGTTTTGCGTCATATTTTTGAAGCTGTAAATCGTAGGATTCGTGCGTTTCTGACCGGCAGCAAATTGAAATAATAGTGTCTAGGGTGTTTCAATAAGTCGGTTAAAAAATTAAACTTGAAATAACGAAGGATTGTAGTAAAAGCGTCTTTGTAAAGCCAAAACTGTAGTGTTGCTAGTGCTAAAATTGATCGCGTGTGATATACAGTAACGTACGGCGTTGCTAAGACGTCCACCGTCATTAGCCATCTCCGCCATCATTTTCTACCGTCATTGTCAATCATCAGAAGCCACCTCCCGATGCCATCATCAGCACCATCTTCTCCGCCATTGTAGTCCACTATAAGGTTTTCGTGATACACTGCTGCGACTAAATTAAAGAACAATGTCGACGTTCATTGGGTCAGTGGAACCTTACGTGGTAGGAACATCGTTCAGCGATTATGCAGAGCGTTTACAACATGTGTTCAATTACAACCGAGTGCCCGAAGGTAATCGCAAATCTCTGTTCATCACAGTGAGTGGCGCTGTTGTTTTATCTGAGCTGAAAAAGTTGTACCCCGGTACGGATCTGGACACGCTACAATATAACGACATCATAACACGGCTGAAAAGCAGGTTTGATAAGAAGGATGGGCGAATGGTACAAAAATCGCTGTTTTACGAACGGTGTCAGCGCAAGGATGAGCCCGCTGAAGATTTTATTCTGGATGTCAAATTGTTAGCGGAAACCTGTGGTTTTGGAATAATGAAAGATTCCATTATACGTGATAGGTTGGTTTTTGGCGCGTATGATAAGAAAGCGCGAGAACGTTTGATCGAAGAGGAAGAACCTTCACTTGAAGAAACCGAGCGGGTCCTTATTACCAGGGAGCAGATGGCACGTCGTTCCTTGTTGATGGAACAACCCAGTGATCGAGTGAGTACTATTGAGAGACCAAGTACACGTTTTCGTCGCGATGATTTCTACAATCGAAACCGTGATCAGAGAAGTGGAAGAAGAGAAGCATATCCGCATAGAAGTCGTAGTGATCAAGATCGTTCCAACTATCGCAGCAGAAGCCGGTCAAGGTCTGGTCAGAAATGGAAATATAACGGCAACAAGAACGTGTGCAGTTTTTGTAAGATTCGAGGACACGTGCGAAAAAATTGCTTTAAACTTCAACGGTCTCGTCAGTCGGTGCGATTTGTAGAAGATGAAAACCCTTCAAATGATTCTACTGGATTTGATTTTAAGCGTCTGGGACATTCGAACAACGTCAATGAGTCAGAAGAGGATTTGGATTGCATGTCCATTATAGCTGGAGTGCAGGTAAATGAACCAGTTTTTATTCAAACTAAAATAAATGGAATAAGGGGATCGTAGTGTGCTGTGCTCGAAGAAAGACATGGAACATTTTCAGCCGTCAATTTTTGCTCCGTTTTTTCTCGAATTTTGTGAAGTTGTAATTAGATTTCGCTTATGCTCCCGCTCCAGAAATTTGTGGCATCGCAAGTGATAGTTTTTAAGTTCAGTTTATTTATGCGTTGTATGATTTTATGAGCGGTCGCTTCGTGTTTGCGTCAAGGAGCAATTGACTATATTAAACCTGAGGATTGATCGGAACTACTACACCAAACGTGACAGAGCTGCTTGCAAAGGATTCACTTGGACTGATTTGGTGAGATTGTTCCTTTTTTTACTTTTATCTATTTAAACTTAATTTCTATGAATCCGTAGCATTTGGAATCATTTGATTCGGATGAGACTTAACTTTCATCCTATGGATTTTAGACATCCTATTTTTTTAGGAGACATCCTACTAAATACGTGCCATCTACAAAGCAGGAATTGCTTTGATGATGGAAGTGTACACGCAGTACCAATATACATTTTATATCGGTACTACGTGTATGCGGGGCGTCTTGTAAGTTCATGCATTGTTTCTTCTCATTGTAGACAACGAATAACGAATAGCGAGCAAGGGCGCTATAACCTAGGCGAATACAGCATTCCCTCCGTATAGGTTACGTCCGCACACCGCTCTCTGTTGTCCTTCGACTGAGGTCGGCTGGATCAATTGAGGGATGGCAGTGGGTGGGCGGTGCCGTCCACGCTTGTACGGAGGGAGGACTGTACGCTCGAACACAAGGGGTAAATACCTGTGTTCCATCCCAGGAGATCGGACAACCAAGGAGTGTACATTAACTTTCTTAGCTCTGTCACTCCCAACGATTTATATAGCCTATTTTCAAATCCTGCATACGGAGCGGTTGGTACGGTATGTCCCCGCTCTTTGATTACCTGTGGATTAAATGTTAACCACTGTCTATACTTATTAAGTAGACATGGTAAACATTCACTTCCACAAAAATTAACTAAACGCTACACAGTAGGCCTGGCCGCTTTATTGTTTGTTTCACATCCTTGATGTGCAGCAGGCATTAATAATGACAAGAAAAATGATAGATGTATCATTTTCCAGGATTCTTTCAAGTACTGGCTGTGCATGTGTTAGACTAGACTAGACTAGACTAGATTAGACTAGACTAAACTAAAATAAATGGAATAAGGTTTAATATGGAGATTGACAGCGGATCTTCCGTCTCCGTAGTAAGCGAACAAATTTACAATGAAACTTTTAAAAATCTGCCTCTTAAAACGTGTCAGCGAAAGTTGTCTGTCGTTGACGGAGCCAGGTTAGAAATTTTGGGTGTTTTAAACGTGACAGTGTCTATGAGGAACTTGATTGCAAATGTTAACTTGATAGTTCTTAAAGGTTGTACCAATTTCATGCCACTTATTGGACGAGACTGGCTTGACGTGTTTTTCAAAGGGTGGAGAACTAATTTTTTGCAACCTACAAATATTAACAACGTAGCTGAAAGTGAAGATAAAGCAGGAGTGGTTGATGCTATAAAACAAAAATATAACGCTGTTTTTAGCAAAGATTTTTCTACACCTATTGAAGGTTTTGAAGGAGAGCTTGTAATGCGGGAAGGTGCGCCTATTTTCAAAAAGGCGTACACTGTACCTTTGCGTCTAAAAGAAAAAGTAATACAGCATTTGGTCTCACTAGAGGATAGTGGAATTATAACGCCAATTGAAGCCAGTGAGTGGGCTTCACCAGTTGTGGCAATAGTGAAAAAAGACAATGATATTCGTTTAGTCATAGATTGTAAGGTATCTATTAATAGATTGATTGTGCCTAATACATACCCGCTTCCTTTAGCCCAAGATATTTTTGCAACTCTCGCGGGGTGTAAAGTATTCTGCTCGCTTGACTTAGCGGGAGCTTACACTCAGTTGCAGCTATCAGAGAGGTCCAGAAAATTCATGACCATCAACACGATTAAAGGGTTATACACGTATAACCGGCTCCCACAAGGGGCCGCCTCTTCTGCAGCGATTTTTCAAAAAGTCATGGACCAAGTCTTACAAGGTATAGATGGAGTGTCATGCTACCTTGACGATGTGCTAATCGCAGGAAAAGATTTCAATGAGTGTAAAACTAAACTTTTTATGGTACTTGACCGCTTGGAAAAAGCAAAAATAAAAGTAAAATTAAATAAATGTAAATTTTTTGTTGAAGAACTTTCATTTCTAGGACATGTCATAACCGGAAATGGACTTTTGCCATGTCCTGACAAAATAGAAACTATTTCTAATGCTAAACATCCTAATAATCCAACTGAACTTAAAGCATTTCTTGGACTTATAAATTTTTACGGTAAATTTATACCAAATCTATCGTCCAAATTGAGCTGTTTCTATAAATTACTTAAAAAGGATTCCAAGTTCGTTTGGGATTTGAAATGCAATGAAAATTTTGAAAACTGCAAAAAATATTTGTTGAAACCGAACGTTTTACATTTTTTCGATCCCAAGAAACCACTTATTGTAGTCACCGATGCATGTGGCTACGGATTGGGTGGCGTTTTAGCGCATGAAATCGACG